AAACATTTTAAAGATTATAAGGAAAAAGTCATAATATTACGAGAATAAAGTCAAAATAACACAAGAATAAAGTTGTAATAACATAATAAAGTCATCTTACGAGAATAAATTTGAGACTAAAGTCAATGTAATACTAACATAATGTGATATTACCAGAATAAAGTCGTAATGTTGTGACTTTATTCTCATAATTTTATTCATTCTTTTATTTTTCTTGCCGTTACTGTAATACTCCATAGTTTGAACATTTCTTTCGACATTTAGGTATTAAATTTCATTCACAATGTTCTTAAAAAGGTCTTGAAAAGTCTTAAATTTGAAACCGTCAAAAACCTGGTTTTGAGCTCAGTCTGCTTGTCCTTCACCACAATGGTGACAAAAAGACCCGCAACTTGAAAAACTAGAATTCTGGCAACTTTTATTCGGAAGCAAGTTCTGCTCCGGTTCTGACCAGTTTTAAAATAAAAATTGTTAGTGCAAAACAACAGGCAAAGTCACCTGTCATTTAGGTAAAAACAAAACAATTTTGCTTTACTGTTTAGAGCAATCTGCCACTGGATATTCATACTTACAGTTTGTACTTGCCAGTGGAATAGAGATTTATCTGCTGTGAAAAATTAGATTTTCTGCCCCCAAATCTGTGGATGTTTGCTCTTTGAAGAGAGGAAGTAGGAAGGTTTGCAGGGGATGTTGATTGGAGGTCACAGTAGCAGTTTTTCCCCCCCTTCATGTAGGGAACATTTGATAATTACACCCACTGGAAAGTCCTCTGTCTATGTAAGGGCTGTAAGCTCTGGCTGATGATGATTGTATGTCATTGTGTAATATTTACCTCTATGCCGTGACTGCTGTGCATGGAAAACATATGCCAGCAGGTACCATTTTGCACACTGGGACAGGTATATCACAATGACTATTAGACATTAAGGATTAAAATACAATTTTAAATGTGGCTAGGAAGCAGTACATTACCGGAAAAAAAACTTTGAAACTTCTAGAGCAATTAAAAATTGTGAAAGTCAACAAAATAGTAAATTTGTATGGATAAAGGTAAAAAAAATTATAATGCTAAAGCTGGAATGTTTTTCAACATTGTGCTGTTGACGACTCTGCACCGGGACATGCTGCTCTGGTACAGGAAAAGAGCCCAGAGGCCCCACTTTGGAAAATATCCAGATGCATTTCGCTCTCTGAGGATTTCTGGTATTTTGTTGCAAATGTCTGACTTTAAAACCTCAGAGAAACTCCTGAGTTTTGTTTTTTTCATTGAAAATTTGTGACCTCACAATGGCAGAAAATGGCTTAGTTTTAACATCGTACATTGTTGGCTTTCTTTTTTTTTTTTTTCCACATCCAAGAAAGTTCTTTTTTGTTTTGTTTTTAGAAAGTATGTTAAATTAATCTAGAAATATTGAGGCTTTTTTGGTAGAAATGTATTTCTTTGTGACCACATTTGAATGTTTTTTTATGAATCTACAATGGCGACAATTATCCGCTGTACTTGCTAAGCACTTAGAGTTCAGCATGTAATATTTTATCTGTAGCTCTACACACTGTTAACAACCTGGAGCTCATGTGCAAATAACCGAATGGGTTAATGGGATTCACACACTGTGCTCTACAACATTACTGGTGTGTAAATGTGGGCGTATCAGAAATCCATTAGTAGTAATGTGGATTTCTGAAGGGTTTTAGAGCAGAACCTGTCGTTTCTGGCAGGCGACTAATTGTGACAGTTTTTGTTCTGCTAAAAAGAAAAGACAGTGAAGTCTGGCTGGTTTTATTCATTCTCATACCATCTGCTTGATGGAACAGCTGTGTTTTTATTATATATTCAGTACTAAAACTGTAATGATCAAGAGAAATCTCAAGTTAATAATAGTGATTGCTGTATTGTCATTCTACAGGATGCAGTGCAACTGTGTTAAACAAAAACAGAAAAAGTGAAAAATTGCAAAAAATCTTTAAAAAATGTATTTTTATGGACCTTAACTGCTTTTATCATTCAAATTGAGAAAATATTATTTTAGCTTACAGATGAAGATTAGCTTGTAGCATTTAAAAGGTTCCTTTACTTTTTTCCCCAGGTGAGCCGGACGTATTGCTCTGGAACGTACCGAGCCGGACCCATGAGGCAGATCAGCCTGGTCGGCGCCGTGGACGAAGAAGTCGGAGATTATTTCCCAGAGTTCTTGGACATGCTGGAGGAGTCGCCGTTTCTCAAGGTGGAAGAGAGATTTTTTTTTCTGCTCTTGCAATAGCTTCTGTAAGAGTTTGTGTTTGTAGCACAGCAGCTTTATCACTTAAACACACGAGTGTATTAGTATTTTAGAGAAAGGCAAGCAAAAACAAAAAAAAGTGTGGAATCTGTTGTTTGTAGTGTCAAAATAACATCTTATTTTAAGACAAAGAGAAGGAAAAGCTTTTTAGCTAAATTATTTATATTCATCTCATCTTGATTATTGCTTTAACTTGCACATATTAAGAATATATTCATGCTTTGGAAACATTTAAGAAAATACGGATATCCAAAGTGTCAATGGCAGCTGGAAGATATGCAGAAACAGAGATGATGCAGGCTGAAAGTGCTTGAATTGTAAATAAAAAATAAAAAAGCAACAAAGGCTTGACTATATGCGTTTCATTCTAGAAAAATATGAACGTGAAAGGGAAAAAAATGTCTGCAACAACCCAAACTGCCAGAAGAGGGAGACATTCTATATTTTAAACGTCATAAAACAGCCTCGTGAACTGCAGTTAGATTAGAAAATGTTCATCATTGTGTGGTCGGTATAAACTAGGAATCATACGCTAACTCACAGAAAATCCCCTATATAACAACAAATGTTTCTCAAGATGTACTTTTGATGCTGTAAAATACAATGCTAAATTCATTGTATTTTGGGCTCAGGTCAGTTAAGAAACAAATTTCATTAGATCTTGAATATTGTTTCAGTATTCTGGCATATATTGTCTTGCAGATGCAGGAATTACCTTGAATCATGTCCATTTAAATGTATTGTCTGTACCTGTGACTGGTTTTGTAGATGACCCTGCCTTGGGGAACCCTCTCCAGTCTGAAGCTGGACTGTCGCTCTCAGAGTGACGACGGACCCATCATGTGGGTCCGACCGGGAGAGCAAATGGTTCCAACTGCTGATATGCCCAAGTCTCCATTTAAGCGTCGCAGGTAGGAGCTTGTGCAAGAAAGTTGGACGTCTACCTCTAACTAAAAAGAAAACCAGCTGCTCATCTGCTGCTTTTCTATTCATTTATTTGATTATTTTAGATCTATGAATGAAATAAAAAACCTGCACTACCTACCGAGGGCCAGTGAACCCAGAGAGGTTCTGTTCGAAGACCGGACTAAGGCCCATGCTGATCATGTAGGGCAGAGTTTCGACTGGCAGAGCACAGCTGCTGTGGGGGTCCTGAAGGCTGTGCACTTTGGAGAAGGGTGCGTTTCGTTGAGCATAATCAGATTTGCCTCACCGTTGTTAACTACACTGCAAAAACACTTAATCTTAACTCATATCTTTGTCCAGTTTTTTGTACAAATATGTTAGTACACTTGTAATGAAGCAAAACTAACTTACAAGTAACTTTTCAGCAAGATATAGGAGCTTGTTTTCAGTAAATACTTTCTTAATGTTGGTTTTCAAAAAAGCACTAGTTCCACTGGTAGATTTCTTTACCTATAACATATGAAAATGTTTTGTTATAAGTGAAATAATCTGCCTGTGTAGATATATTTTTTTAAAGAATACAAGTTCATTCTAAACTTTTCTTCCTGAAAAGTAACTTGTAAATTATTTTTGTCTTATTTCAAGTGTACTAAGATATTTTCACTTCAAACTAGCCAAAAATACTTGGCAAGATTCGCTGTTATTGCAGTGTAGTTGTTGAGAAGGTTATTTACTTGTTTATTTTTAATGGGATCTCTTAAAGGGATAACCGCCCTCGGATTACCAAGGATGTGGTGTGTTTTGATGCTGGGGACTTTAACGAGGTTGTCCAGAGGCTGCAGCTGGATCTTTATGAGCCCCCAGTTTCTCAGGTAAATTCAGATTCCAGTTAAAAATAATGTTTTCTTTTTTTTTTTCTGCATATGTTTAATAACGTATGTGTGTGTCTTGGTGAAGTGTGTCCAGTGGGTGGATGACGCCAAGCTGAATCAGCTGAGGAGGGAAGGCATCCGCTACATCCGCGCGCAGCTCTGCGACGACGACATTTACTTCATCCCCAGGAACGTCATCCACCAGTTCAAGACGGTGTCAGCCGTCTGCAGCCTGGCCTGGCACATCCGCCTCAAACAGTACCACTCGGCCGAAGACACGGATGCCACGGAGGAGCAGCAGCAGCCCAAAGATCTCAGCCCCACATCAGGCCGAGTCTCCTTCTCCTCCCCTGCCAGACCGGACTCCACTCTCACCCCGTGCTCACGGCGCCAGCCGGACAGCATCCACGGCGGGGTGGCCAAAACCGAGGAGCCCGAGTTCCAGAGGCCGGCCACGCCGTCGAAGGAGCCTCAGCCAGCCCCCCCTCAGCCCACCAAATCCACTCACCTCCCCCACCTTTACCCCGCCTCGGTCCACTCTGGCTGCACGCCCTCAAAGGAGCCCTCGCTGCCAAAGGCTAATGGCCACAGCACGGAGATCCCCAAATGATCCCAGTCAGCCCTTCTTCCTTCCAGCTATAGCAGGAAGTATTTAAAATTTTAGACTAAATTTGACATCTGAGTCAATCAGGAAGCTTTTAAATTATTCTTCTTTTTTATCTCACAATAATGGTGTGTTTTTGTCTTCTTTTTTTTAACCTACTGTAATGTTATTGTTTAATGGGACAGAATAATATATATATATTTAGTTATCGGATGTAAAGAATCTTATTATTTTTAAACTGATATTGTAAATCGTCACACGTGCTGTGTGAAAGAAACTTTTTTTGTTTTTTATTTCACGGTGAAGTTATTTCTCGGAATCCAATTCACCCATTAACCTGGATGTGTTCTTGATCAATAACAGACTTTCTTCAGCTGCATGAACCTGCCATGTTATCATGAAACATGAAGATCACCTTAAGCCCGGGATTATGTATTTTTATTCGATTGATTTGGAGACATGGGCAGCTGTGTGCGGTGAGCTCAGCGCAGATGGGGCAGGGTGTTAATTTGGCTTGGTTGGGGTCACTTTATGTCAAAGTGAGATTGAAAATCCCCCAGAAACTGGATGTCCACTCTTCAGAGAATCCAGTAATGTTTAAAGCGCTCTCCTTCCTCCATGTACAAAACTTCAGTGGTGTGACTGTTGTAACTAATTATCAGGGTGGCAGCATATCTGGGAACTGGCAGCCTGATGGCAACAGTAGTAGCATATCCATGGTGTGAGATACAAATTCACATCATGGCCCTCGCTGGTGTGCTTGGTCACTGAACCAAGAATTTGTAGCAGGACTGACCACAAGCCAGCCTAACCCTGGCCACACTGACCAGGAATTACACAAATTAGCTTCTTACAACACCATCTACACCACAACAGATATGTGCTTGGCATTCTGACGCCACTCTGGCTCCAACAAAAAAGAAGGATCTCACCGGAGGCAACTTTTACCATGTTCTTCACACTAAGACATAAAAACACATGATGATTAGTCTCTATCCATGCAAAGATTAGTATGAGCAAAGCTGCAAAGAAGTGTCCACACCTCCAAATTGCACATGTTGACTTGTTGCTGAGCGCCTGTGGGAAGATTAAGGTTTTCTGTTGTCTGCAATTCAGTATGATTGGGAAAATTGTTTTGAGAGAAGAGGAAGCGCGAACAATGTCTCATTAGGTTCATTAATTAATTTCTTTGTTGCGACTAGAAAAGGAGGAAGTGTTTACCCAGGTATGATCCTCCACAGCAGCGCTGTACATGGTAGAGGATGTGCAGGATTCTCAAGTTTAAAATGAAGTTCCACATTTTCTGATTTGATACTTGTGGGTGAGTATCCAGTCTGCAGTAGGGTGACGCTTGCCTTTAAACTGAAATTACTTTTTCTGAGATCCCGAAGGCCGTCTGAAGCCGCTTTGAAGTGGACTAATTCCCCCCTTTAAAAGCGTCATGCAATTATGTTAGTAAACTTAAAGCACTTAAATCTTTTTTTGCCAGCTATGAGTTTGTACTTATAGTCATAATTCAAACTTTGTTTTATTTGTGAACTTGTTTGATTGTTTGTACCTTTTTTTAATATTTATTTTCTGCAGATTCTGCTTTCTGATCCGGTATCTCGAGCATCTTTTAATCACAACGGAACTGCAAAAGTTGCACTTAGCAATAATAGTCAGTCGTTTTTCATGTTTAGAATGAAAATGGAGCGTAATATGTTGTTGTGATAGCTGAGATTATGTGACTGTTGTGATGGTTATATTGTTTTTTTTTTTTCATCAAAATCCTTCGTAAGGTGACGACTTTAGGTAGTTTTAGAAAGAATGTATAGGATGAAGGCTGGAAATGATGTTCCAAAGCGTCCAGACGTTGGATGGAGATTGAGGCCTTCAGTTTCTTGTTTTCAGATTTTTTTCAGAATGAGGTTTAGAAGGAAGGAAGTGACGTTGTGCTACCTGGTGCCTTTTGCATGATTAGCCGAACTTGAGACTGAAGGCTTCTATTTTTTTGATGACTGAAATGGGAAATAAGTACCTGGTAGCAAATACTTTACACATAATAGTTTGGCTTTCATAAATCACAGAATGGATTTTTTGCTATGTTATTATGGCTTCCATATAGTCTTGACTTCTTGTAGCTCTTCTTTCTTGAAGATTTTTAGATTTAGTTTTTTTTTTCCCCTTACTTGTTGGCATCATAAATCACAGACAGAAAGATACAGGAAGCATACATTGTTTACCGTTGTAAAATAATCCAGTTACGCGTAAATAGGAAAAACGCAATTGGAATGCAAAGACATATATTTTAATAAATAAATGTGCAGTTGCAGCATATCCATATGCACGACATTCAATATTTATCAGGATATCCCTTTCATCATATCGCTTTTAAATAATATGGCAAAGAAGCACTGAACGATGCAAAGTCCGCTCTGTTTGAAAGACAAAGTGTCGCGCTCGTGAGGATTCGTTATACCCGTTTTCTTGTTTCACGCTGAAAGCATACATGCAATCACCATCATCACACACATGCACATTTAAATTTAGACCTAACACACAACGCAACAGCTTTGCCTTGAGCACAAAATAAAACAAGTCTTACAGAAACTCCCTCCAAGCGGTCTCTCATATCTGAATATCGATGTTGCTTTTTGTTTTATAGAAGGCACTGTTCAGCAGTTAAACATTTGCTTTACTTTATAAATTGCACAAAGACTGGGCCCTTCCTGCGTGTTTCCTGACGGGAGGTGCAGCTGCACAGAAACCCGTTTTGGCTTTTCTCTGTTCTTCTTCTGCTGTGTCGGATGTTTTCTTGACAAATTTGTAATAAACCTGCTTCTGTCCCAAAGTCACTGAGTAGTGCACTGTATCATTTTGAGGCCAAGTCTCTTCAGATCCAGGTCTCCGGATAGCTCCGAGGGCCTTTTGGCTTTCCAAAACGGTTCCCAAATCCTGTGGAACAGAAAGGATGATTTCACAGATTAGATTTGTGATGGTTTTGTTTTATCATGTTTGAAAAGTATTTTTAACTCATTAGCTGTTTTTTGTGGTTTGCCTCTTCACAAATCCAAACTCTAAGGTATTTTTTAATACAAATTCAAAGAGTACTTCATTGAGCCAAAAGAGTTTGAAGTAGTAAATACAGCAGTGAAAGTGGAGGAAATTTCATGTGGTCGACAAACAAAGATGAAGTATTGCATAATTGTGAAGTGGAAGTAAAACTATCCATGGGGGCCCAACTACTGACTTCACATATGTGCATCAATTTTAATTCTTGCCCCAAGTTGTTTTTGGTCTGGACTTTGACTGGGCTACTTTAAACAATGAATGTGCTGTGTTCATGCATTTATTTAACCTTTAATCGGTAAACTATTTAGAACAAGTTGTTATTTACAGTGACAGCCTGACAGGGATGGCAATTAAATAGTGTGGACTAAAAACATTAGCTTAAAAAAAAAAGCAAATGAGGTGGATTAGCAGTGCTTGCCATCAAATGATGGTTTCATCCAGGGCATGCTATTTTTGGAACAAGTCATGACGATCATGAGATTGTCATACAGCAACAGTCTTCAGTCAGAAGCTTCATTGCGAGACCAACTGCTACTGGAGATGCTTCCAGCCCACAACATCATCATCCACGGCGACTCTTTGAAGACTCTTGGATGTCTTTAAACTTCCTGTATCTAAAATTAAGATCTTTAAATGTCTTACTCTTTAAATTAAATTAACTTTACCTTAAATACATTAATCACACATCTTACATTTTGTTGTGGATGAACTATTTAATCATGTATATTTTTTTTCTTCACAGGATTTTCTGTCATCTGCAGATATCATCATTGCGTTCGGTGGCTTGAGACGGTTGCGGCTACCGGTAACTAGCTGCTAAAATACCCTAGCTAGCTAGCTAGCAAGGTTTAAGATTTTTTATGTCCATCATGGATAAGTGCAGATTTATTGCTGGATGGTGTTCATCTGGCTCACTTCTTTTGCCAAACCATACAATTTTCTTTTGTACATTTTTAATTACTTAGGTCTTAAATTCCATTCATAATGGAATCTTAAATCTGAGTTGTTCAAACCTGCAGAAACCCTGAAAAAAATTCCTGAGTAGAATTGAATGGCCACAGCATGATTCTGCCACCACCATGTTTCAGCATGGAGAAGGTGTGTTCAGGTTGTTTGCTTATCCTCTCAAATAGCTTTTCACTTGGAGACCAAATAGTCTCATCTGTCCAGAGCACCTTCCTCCAGTGACCTGAATATAATTTGCACAGATGAACTCTACTTATTGCCAGAGGCAGTGTCTGCATTGGATTTTATTTAGTGGTGTCAGAGTTAAAAAGGATTACTACAAATACATAGAACACTTTTTGTGGGATATTTTAAAAAGCATCTAAACCATCTATCGTTTTCCTTAACATGAGTATAAACTGGCATATTGACTTACCAAATTTAAACACAGTAAATGAGCTACTATGTGAGGTGGCTGTAGCTCCAGCCTGAGTGGGAGGCGGTGGAGGGGCTGTTTTAGCTAGAATTAAAGTTTTCACAGTTATTTTATGAGAGAAATTATTAGTTTTATCAACGACGTGAAGTACAGAGTAACGTTACTTACGTTTTGATTTATGCCTAAAAAGTTTCAGGCTCTAAATAAAGAAAAGAAAATTATTGATCTATGCTTTATTTTATCCATAGCTTATAACGTTGCTCTTCTTGTCTTACCTTTGTTCTCAACATGCTCTTTTCACTGCTTTTGTCTGCTTTGCTTCCTGATCTGTCACTGTCTGGGGTGGGCCTGTGGTTTATATTCTGTTGTTCCACTTGCGCTGATGAACATAGAAACGGAAAGGAGATGAAGCATATTTTTGCCCAGATGTTGACATTTCACCTGGCACGATGCTCCCCCCTCATGTCTGTGCAAAAATATCTTATCCAAACTCTTAAAAGGAATCTCAGCTTCCTTCGATGTGCAGCGTCTTGTGGCTGATCTGCTTTTCTTGATATGTCTGAGGATCTTCTGTCATTTTGATGAGTGCTTGTACGGTTATTAATAGACTGTGTGAGACAGGCTACTGTGTAGTGTGCTTCAAACTGACTCACCACTTCCTCCTTCAGCTGAGACCACAGGAAGAGGAGTGAGCTGCGGAAATGCACTGAGGGGCTCTGCAGTATGAACACAATAATTAATAAAAACATCCCCTGTTGAAACACATGTATTTCCACTAATAATAATAATAATAATCAGCATGCAGAATGTTTAACCAGTCAAGCTTTAAACCCCTTCATACCTCCTTGTGATAGTGACATTTAATTTTACTCTCTGTGAGCCTCCATGTTTGTACTAACAAAAAGATTAAGTTTCTTTTTTGTGCATGTAATATGACTAACTGCATTAAATTGTGGTATAAACATACAAAAAACTATAAGTATATATCTATCTATATATAAGATAGACATTCTTGGTAAGAAGTGACATGTTCTCGGGAATCCCTGC